TAATAGAAATAATTTTCTTTGGTTTTGAAGTCTTATTAAAAATGTGACTGACTATTCTGTAGATTATACCTTTAAACAAAATAATACACAGTGAATTAGAAACTCAGGCATTCTCAATATGTGAAATTATTCCTTAATCTTTAGTTACCACTAAACAAAACATTTTCTGTGAGTCTGAAATTTCTCTGTTATTTGTATTTAATGCTATTACTGAATTGGAAGAAATGAGGTCTTTTATTAATTTAAATTTCACACTGGGCTGTGAGATGCATCGAAGAATTAAACTAAACAATGTACCAAGCTGTGGCATACTCGTGACACGTGTTATAATACTGGAAATTCTGACTTATTTACTTCCACTTCCATTCTGTTGTATCCAGCCTCTGGGAACTAGGGCAGTGTCGATCCAAGTCAGTGGACTGACCCAGGAACCACCCACCCTTGATCCCAGCATCGTACTGGGAATCAGTCACACACTAGATTCCACCACCTCTGGAAAAGCCCCATGACCCTGTGTGGCTTTGGGGTCATCGAGACACAAGCCATGCAGTGGCCAGCGTCGTTAGCCCAGTTTTCTCCACGTGCTGCCAATCTTCCAGAATTGAGCGATTACTTGAACTCTTACAATCTTAGTTTTCTTTGCTGGAAAATAAATGGGTTTGGGCTATGGAAAGAGAAGGAGGAATGAATCTTTTATTTTTCTTTCATTTTAAAGAGATAAAGCAAAAATAGGTAACAAGAACAAAGACAGAAACAAAGCAACATAAAACAATACAAATGGTACAGAACTTCAAAACAAGAACAGAAAATTGACAGTTGTTGTATTATACATTGTTATCATCAAATTTGCTACTCAGATTACCAGATATAGGCATGCAAGATTGATCAAACAATGAAAAATTAACTTTTCCTTTCAAACTTTAATATTTTCCTTGTTCTAAACTTGAAGCCTTTAAAGGTAAATGGATGCAACCAGAAACTATACTCATAAGTGAAATAAATCAGACCCACATGTGTAGACATCATATTGTCCCCCTAGTGTAAGAACCTAAAAGAAAAATCTGAAAGGTCTAATAGATCCACTAAGTTAAATGAATCCTTCAATGATGAACCAGTTCAAGAAATACCCACCTTTACATCTCTGGCACAGATCTCAGTATCTGGTCCAGTGCTTTGTCTCTGCAAGCAGGAAATCTGTCCCTCCGCATTCTTTGGTATCAGTTCCACTGGGTACACAGGTCATACTTTATTTTGATCAGGTTTTCTGTCTAGTCCCCTAGGCCTCAAGAAAATTTGATGAGGGCCAACGAGACAGCTCAGCAGACTGAGCACCTGCTTAGGCAAGCTCAGGGACCAGGTTTGATCCCTGGCACTAAATGCCATCCGGCCCTACCCCCAGGCATGCTGAACTGGCCATGGAGACCAGGTGCCTGTAATCCCAGTGCTGGGAAGCTGAAAACAGAAGGATCTCTATAAGTCCAAACTGTGTAGTGAGACCCTGTACCAAATACATACAGAAAAGAAAGAAAGAAAATAAGAAAATTTGACTCAACACTAAAAGCCAGGGTGATGTCACATAAAGGTCTCAATGAAACCTGACAAGATTGGCCCTGTTAACTTTGCACTGCTGCTTGGCAGAGGATGTGCTGGAGCCCAGCACCATCCCTTCTGCGCAGCTCCCCACCTCCACAGCCCAACCCTCGCAATGATTCGGACTTTGAGACTGAGCAACTAAGTTGCATTTATCCCATGTTTATCTTTTTTTTTTCCCCAGAACCAGGAATTGAACTCAGGCCCTTGCACTTGCCAAGGAAGCGCTTATTCTACTGAGTCATATCCCCTGGCCCCTTTCCCATGTTTATGAAAGAAAAACAGTTCTCATTCCCAAGCTTCTATCAAAAGTAGAGGAACAAAAGGCAGCCCTAGAAGGCTGCTTGTTGGAAGCAAAGGGGAGGAGTGTATTTCTCTTTCACAGTGTTTAGCGACAATACCTGTCCTCATTGGTTGGGTAGCTTACAAGCTTCCTCTCTTTGGCAACCAAAACTGCCCCTGCTTTAAAGAATCTAAACTACCATTCTAGAAACAATACTGGAGGGAGGCACCTCAATAGCGTGTTGGCATTGTTGCTGTTTCCTGTCTCAGCTAACATGCATGTGCCACTTAATTTTTCCAGGCTTTAGAATTTCCTTACATAAAATGAAAATGGGAGACCAAGTTATACATAAGATAGCTCTCGGCTTAAAATGCCATGCTTTTAATGTTTGCCTTCTTGTGAGGAAACTCGCCTGATGTTAGCCTCACAAATATGTGCTGTTTTAAAAGTAGTCATCATGGTTTTGTTTTGAGCTTTTGTTTCTTCCTGCAGGCTAAGGCAGATTTGATAGATGACATTGACTGTGTGTAAGGTTTGGATCGTACATTGCGGATATCGTAGCTTCAGTGTGAACATTCTGCTCTGACTCAGTATGTATTTTCAAAATGCCTGAGGGCCAGCCAAATAGCTTAGTGGATTAAAGCTCCTGCAAGCAGGCGCAGAGGCTGGGGCTTCGATCCTTCTGGCCTGCCATGCCTGCCCCACCCCCAGGGCACGCTGAGACTGCATTTGATAGAGGACATGGTGGCGCATGCATGTAAGCCCAGCTCTTAGGAGGCTGTAAACAGGCAGATAGATCACCATGAGTCGGATCTAGAAGTGAGACCTTGAACACCCTATGGACCCTTCCCTAAAATAGAAAAAAAAACTATTCTCAAGAAGTCAATTGACAGCAAATGCTAGCAAAGCTGGGGAGCAAGGGGAACCCTTCTCCAGTGTTAGTGGGAGAGCAGACTGGTGCAACCACTGTGGAAATCAGTGTGGCGATTCCTAAAAAAAATCTAAAACTAGAGGTTCCATTTCACAGAGCTATTCCCCTTCTTGGTATCTTCCCAAAAGAATTGCAAGCATCACACCACAATGATGTATGCACAGCATGTTTATAGCAGAACAGTTTGTGGTAGCTAAATCTTGCAAACAGCCTAAATGCCCATCAACCAATGAATGGACAAAGAAGAGGTGGGAGTGGGGGCATTATGAAGTGGAGTACTACTCTGCCATAAAGAAGGGATAGATTAAGACACATCTAGCTAGATAGGTGCACCTTGAGACCATACTTTTAAGTGAAATGAATTGGACACATGTTTAAATATCAGTTGTTTCTCTGATCTAAGAAAACAGTAAGCACCAAAATATGTAATAGATATGTGAAATAAGAAGTAAATATTGAAGTGAGCAATGGAGCTAGGGAAGAGGAGGCGGAATGGAGGGAATAGAAAAGAGGAAAAAATGGAACAAAGCTTTTATACATCAGAAAGGGAAGAGTGGAGAAAGGGTAGAGAGGGGAATAAAAAAGAACCAAGATATACATGCACAGGTACTAATCCTTAGGATGAACGTGATCACTGTATCCAAAATGTACAGTATAACTAATGAAAATGCATTTGTTCCATGCATGCATGCCTTTGAAGCAGTGAGGTCACAGCTCCAGGAAGTCTTTGTTGGTTAACAGAACTTCAACTACTTTGCTACTCATAATAGCTAAAGAAGTGTCACTTGCCAGTGGAGAGTCAGGGATTCGGAGAGGTCACCACGGACAAGATCAGCTCATTCTCCTCCATCCTGCTATGAGGCTGGAGTAGGAAATCTGCGCAGTCACAGGCGCCCCTGCGTGTATGTGAATCCACACAGGACTGCAGGCGTTGCTACAGACTGTAAAATGTCAGTTTCTGCCCTCTCCATCTAGTCTCAATGGGTCAGTCTGGTCCACAGCCTGCAAAAAAGCAGTTTCAAGATATCTCAGATTCAAGTGTGAAAAATACTGTTTTCATAAAAATAAACTAATTTCTACACTGTAAGGTTGCTAGACAAAATGTTGAAAAGATAATGCAGTGAGGGCAGCTTAGTATTCTTAGTGTGTTTCGTTTCCTTTTTTTTTTTTCCTTTAGAATGTAATGTACTTGATGGTATCGCAGCCTTTCCTCAGCAGTGGATGACAGAAAAGTTGCTGCAACGCTGTGCAACATTATTTTGAATTCTTGATGATTGTTTTCTAATATGAGCTAAGCAATTTCAGATTAGTTTTCCTCCAGGTTTATTACTTAGCATAATTTTTATGTTCATTCAGTCTTTGCAAATACATAATGTAACATAATCGACTGTATACACATTTGACAAGCTAAAAATTGCCATTAAGCTTAGCTAATTCAAAAGGTAGACAGTTCAACTGCATCATGGTTTCTTGTTTTGGAAAAAGAAAATCTTCCCCATCCCTCAGTAAAAGGAGCTGTGAGTCTTCAAAGCATTATGCATGAGCCCTAGACTGTTCTGTGTCCAGAAATCCAATCAATGTGGGGTACAAAGGGGAGCTGTGAAGAAAGGAGCCGCTCCAGAGTGTAGCCAGGTCTGTACTTGTAATTTCCAGATGAAGAGACTGAGGAACTCAGTTACAATCAATTTGCTCCTCCATAGAGCCAAAGGCACGGTGACCTGGGTAATCTGGGTGTCAAAATTTTGAGTAAAACCCACGTGCAGTGACCTGGGCCACGGCTCTGTCTCCTGTGCCACTTGCTTCACACAAGTTCCCCCATTTCAGTGAAGGGTCTGTCCTGCCATTGTTACTTTTCCTAGAAATTTGCTGCAGGGCAGTACCTTTTGGCAAGCCGTTAATAATGATGTGTGTTGCACTGTGGTGTCTTTGCGTGGGATCTACATTTCGATTTAGAAAGAATAAGCACAGATCTGCCTGGATTTCTCTGTAATTAACTTCCAAGTAATACTTCCGCACCCTGTGCCAGCGCATGCCCCAAGTCGATATGTTGCTCACATCACTGGTTGTTTATGATGGTCTTCTGCTGCTGCTGTACTAACACTTTTCCCGTCTCCAACTGGCTTTACTTTTTGCAGCTTTGAGCAGTAATTCAGTCCCCTACGCCTCCCTGATTGGCTCTGTGTCCTCCCTCTCTAGCCAAACCACCATTCAGTCCATATATGATAATAACTCTCTCCCACGATTCGCTCGAAAAGGTCTAAACATCTTTGTCTCTATTATTTTCTCTGTGAAAGCGCTGTAGTGGTGTCCACATGGTCCATTCCATTCCGTTCCCAGATAAGCCTAATGTCTCTGTGCCTTTGCATTCCCATTCTCTTTACTGGGGAGCGCCTCAGCTGGATCAGATCACTTCAATTACCAGGTCACTGTCACCCACCCCGTTCCTCCACAGAATAGAAATTAGTTCAATTCTACCCTCTAAACAGAAAACTTTCAGAAAGAGCTCCAAAATTCCGGTCCAAATGTATAATTAAATCGCCAACAAAGACTTTCTCTTTCTCACCAACTCATTTTTATTGGACCTCTGCTAAGGTTTCAGCTGACTGGAGCAGACCTTCATAGCCTTGCTGCTAAACCAGCATGATGCACGACACTGCTCAGTGACAGTCTTGAAGAAGCAAAGTAGTTTGTACTTAATTTGCCAGAACCACAGAAACTGTTGCATTTGAGATAAAGGAACTTATTGGGTGAGGCCCGACAATGGCACAATTTCTAAAATAACCATAAAGTTACCACATGCCCTGTGGACGTCAGGCTCTTCCTCCACAGCCTTCGTAGTCCAGAGGGCTGCCCTGGCAGCACAGTGTCAACTTGGCTTCCAGTTTGGGTTCTTCCCTTTAAATCTTCCAACTTCAGAGATTTCTCTGGGGCATGCTAGTTCAGATTTCTCTAGCCAGCTGAAATTTGTGTTTCTAAAATAAGAGTCAGCAATGCTTTCTCCAAATTATGTTGCAGAATTAACCAAAATGCAACAATGTACAAATCCTACAGAAAGTGAGGAAACAAAGACACAGGAATTACCAAAATTAACAGCAATTTTATTTTTCATGACGTCTATGAAATCAGTATATCTTCAGCTGGTCCACTGAACTATGATGTGTCAGTCCAACCTCTGCTTTCTTTTCTTTTTCCACCTTTTTCCCTCCCTTGTCCTTTCACTGTGTGCTCACCTCCCTAAACTCATTTTCCATTAGTGGACAAAGATGCTTACGCCTGAAGTAGATTGTAAGTTTACTGGGGGTTGAATGATGGGTCCTGGTGGGAAACACCATAAGGTGGTTAATGTGGCCATTTCGAAATGTCCAGGGGAAGGCTGCAACCCCAGCCTCTACAATCTGCTCCTAGTGGAAACATTTTTGAAGTGGAGTTTGCTGTCTGGTGTGTCGTCAGTGGTTATCGTCAGTGAGCCGTGGTGCATGTCATTTTTTGTGTCCATGTTTGCATGTGAATATCGGTCACCTACAGGTTTGTAAAATCTGAAAGCAATCTTAATTGGTTGAGCTAGTCCCAACATATGATGGAGCCTGCAAAAAACTTACCACAAGTTTTATTATCCTTTGGAAAGCCCATTAGGATATCCATTTCATTGTTTTGAAGAGATTCACTTTTATTTTATTCATGCCATCATTTCCCTTGCAGGTTCAGACGATCCTGGTTACGCTGGTAACCTTCATTCCTCATGTTAGTTTTCCTTGTTTATGCATCACTTTATGTTTCCTATCAAGCTACTGCTCTTTTCCTTTTAGGCCTTTCTAAGTATCTGTTTTCTTCATTTGCGTTATACCATTAAATCCCATGCAATTTCCATTTCACATGGTGCAGGAGGAGTTTGAGATGACACAGTAGTCATTACTCAAAGCAGTGGTTGACGTGGAGCCTGGCTCAGTATTTTCCACTAGTGAACCTCATTGTTGTACACTGTGACAACATTGCATTTAATTAGGAAGAGTTAGTTTGGGGATTATGCTTGGTAATTTTTCTATTTGGCTACAAAATCCGCCCCTCCTGAGCATGTCCTGCTTTGGGTAACCAAACTTTCTACCTGCTTCTTCATCTAAAACATCCTTACTACTCACATATTTTCAGGCCATCTCTAACTACAGCATTATCTATATTTTGGAAGGGTTTGTCTCATTTTTATTTGTTTTCAAGTATATTTCTTCTTTCCTTTTTTTTTTTTTAACAGGTATGGCCAGCCATCCCCCAATACCAATCTTGGAACTTGCTGATCACATTGAAAGGTTGAAAGCAAATGACAACTTGAAGTTTTCCCAGGAATATGAGGTAATTCACTACATTTATACTGGACAGCAATTTCAGGTGTCAGTGCCCTCTTCTCCTAGATTATATTCTTGAAAATTAACATCAGAGCTTTTTCATTTAATATAACTCAGAATATGATATAAAAATGTGTAATGTGTACCAACTTAAAAGTGTATATATCATTTCTTAATATAGCAGCTTCTTTTTTGTAGAGGTATTATTTTATGTTTGTTCAATGGTACATAATGAGATTGATTGATTGTTTTGGCTTTAAGTTCATAAAACATTCTGGATTGGTGAACTTCACAGTATATATACAGCTGCTACATATGTTGATTTATGGTGAGAATTGTGATTAAAACAGAGATTAGAGGAATGAAGAGATTTTTCAGTATTCTTTGTTTTACCTGGCTCAAAATCTCTATAATTACTGAATACACAGAAAGGATTTTCGTCTAAAATAATACTAGCACTAATTTTAAGGTGGTGCTGTATTTTCAAAAAGTTGACTGTTTCTGAAGAAATGGGAAAGTGAATACTATCTTAAAATACCGGAATCCTTTGTGAATTCTTCATGAAATCTTTGTTATGAAAATGAATTCTTTGTGTCATGTGCATTTGTGTGTGTATTGTGAATTTTGTGCCAGTTTTTATGTACAAATTTGTATTCCACAAAAAATAGAAGAAAAAAATATTGAAACCAGTTCTTCAACTATTGCTCACTTTATTCTGTTTAAACTGTTTAGGAAAGGATACTGCTTCCATGTTGAGAAATTCAAAACTGATTGTCTTGTTTACTCAAATGCTCTGCTTGTATATTTTTTTCTTCTTTTTCTTCTAGATCGTAATTGGCCTTTTAAAATTATGTAATCCCCTTTAGAACATTTCTGTAGTTTGTGGCTTGAATTTGCAAACGTAACTTGGATGAGAGGCGAGGATGTAGGGTAACATGCAACACTTAGCTGAGTGTCACCAACCAGAATTTTGTGCAGATCCAACCTGATGTTTGTTATTGTTGTGATTCTTACTATTTTGCTATGTGATATTCCTTTCATGGCCCTGCTCTGATTATCTATTTGTGACTAAGAGTTGTATAGAGGATAACAAGAAGATAAAAACGCGACAACTCAATTGCTTCTTAAGCCATTCACTCACCACCCGTGTAACTTTCCACCATGCATAGCGCTGTGTATTTGCATTACTGATGTAACTTCAGTTGTATACATTGAATGCAATAACGACTCTCCTTTAGATATAGAATTTCTCAAGAAATACTGTATGCAGAGCTTCTCTAATAACTCTCATTTAGCCGTGAGATCACAAGTGCTCCTCCAAAATAGTTATGAAGCAGCTGCTGGCACGGCTCTCGTTTCACAGCTCCCCCAGTAGCCTGAGCCGCCGCCGTGACAGCCCACGCTGAGGCTTGGCCGTGGATCATGGCGCTGGTCTGTGATTACAGCTCCCTGGGCGTGCATTGGGTCTGCTGTGCCTTAACAGCCATGAAGGAGACATTTAAATGCAGTTCTCATTTGAGGAAATAAAATTAAGGCCTCTACGTCATATTTCAGAGCAGCAATTTGGAGGCTTTTTTTCGCTATAACCTCATATAAATATAAGTGCGTTTTAACTGGTTGTCAGTGAAGAAAATGGAGGAAACAAGACTCATCTTATTTTTGAACACTTAATTATTTTGGCATAATCACTGTGAATTAATGTTTGCTGGGACCACTCAAGATGCAGGAAGCTGAATCTGTCACTGACTGTAAGATGAAAATAGAGGTTAAAAACATGAGCGCTGTTTGCACCAATCCTAAGGTCAGAATAGGAGAAAGAAGGTTGCCCTGGTAGCACAGTATAATTAGATCCTACAAGGGACCTCCTATGCTGCAAAGGTATTGGAACTCATCACTGCATTCGATGACAGCTAGAAAGAATCTGAGAGATTAGAGTAACCCCACCTCTGAAGGGCTATATAAACACTTTAGGTTTCCATTTTCTGATATGAGACTAAAATATCCCTCCTAGAATTTAAGTAGTCACAATTTAAGGACAGAATCTATAATGCAGAGAATAAAGCCCCCCGACAACCCATAATCTGTTACAGCTGTCAAAGTGAATGCAGTAGGGTGGTGAAATTTTCGACTAACTCAGAATAATATGTGTAGATGGTATTAAATAAAATCTTAGGCTACTGCTTGAGCATTATTTTAGAAGCCTGTCTAAAATTCAGATTCCTGGTCTCAGCCCCAGAAATGATGGTTCAGTAGGTGAACATGGTTTCTAGAAACTTCCATTTTAAAGGAACATTTTAGGCAAATATTCTGATTTCTTCAATTAAAAGGTATTATTGGTTTAAGGTCGCACAATCTCCATGTCATCACTTGCTGGCAAATAGACTGCTGTGCTTGAGAGCATTTGCAAGGTGTGATCACAGCCATCATTACCTAAACACACGCAGGTCCTACCTACTGTAGTTTAGAAGGATTAAAGAACTACAGCCATCAGACCTCCTTAAAGTAAAAGAGTTACTCATTTATCCCTGGGCCAGAGGCTCACGGTGCAGGGAAGCTTTAGAACGGTCACCTGGACCTAAGAGGCTGTGCCGTCTTCCCTGGAACTTGCTTTATTACGCTTCTCTACAGTGGCTCCAGGCTTTCTGCTGTGTAGATTAACTTCTATATGTCTTACCTATGCATACAAAGTAAGATTATTTATCATATTTTATCATGCTATCATATTGATGTTTACATATAGGTCCCCTAAAGAAAGTCTAGACTTTTACTGCTAATCAAATTCCAAAAGACAGAGAACCCTGGATAGGAAGGGACAGTGAGTACAGAAGGGAGCTGCCAAGCTAGCAAGATGAAGCAATAATTATCCGCAGCATTACTGAACAGTGGCATGGTGCTGAGTGCGAAGAGGAATAGAAACTGTAATTCTAAGAAGTCTAGTTGACCAAGACAAATACATACATACAGAAATAATCAGAAGTACGACAAGGAATTCAACCTAAGAGCTAATCGCATTTTTCTGGAGTCCCTTGGATGTCTATGAGCTGGTGAACTGGAAGAGATAGGAAAGATAGGTGATACTCAGGAAAACCAAAAAGGGCAGTGAAAAACACACTGTCAAGGGAAAGCTCAAAGACAGTAGGAAAAAGAGGCTCTGGAACTTCCATTCTAAGATTGGGGGTTGCAAACTAGCTCCTCAACACTTGGTAGTTTGTAGCAATACAGGATATTGGGTATGTCCCTTGGCCCATGGCCTTGCTGTCTACATTTTCACAGGGATACCCTGGAAATGTTTTGGAATTAAAAGGCCAAATGAAGAGATAGTTCTTAATAGACATGTGACAAGGCAAGCTATTTATGAGAGAGTTGGGTGAAATGAAATTGGACAAGGTAGAGTTAGGAATTACAATGAGCAGCCATTGCTATTCTCACTAACATAAAAGTGAGCTTGAGGTGGTCTCCTGGTGGAAAGGTGATGAGATTGAACCCAGACACATTTGCATTGAGCCCTGCATACTTCGCATGGCTCTAACTTTGCACTGTCACGTAGCTATAAATTTCTCCTTTATTGCTGTGAAAATTAGGTAGTATATGTGCGAACGTGTACGCATGCACACAGTCCAGGAACACAGAGTGTGTATGTGTTGCATATGCATGTAAGCATGTAAACTCCAGGACACACAGTGTGTATATGTGTGCCCACATGTGCATGGATTTCCAGGGACTCAACAACTGCTAATTGAAAGGCTGGACTTCCTGGTATAGGGAAGAAGTGAAAGCCTTGTTGTAAAGAGCTGAGTATGCTTATTTGTGTTTAAAAAATTAGCTATTTATAATAAGGGAAAAAAGTATTAAGTTTCTTCCTACTTCCAACAAGTGTACAGTCATAGCAATGAAAAAATTAGAAAATATAGTCAATCCTATGATAACAGTGTTTTCATTGAATGATGAATACAACACAGAGCATATGTACAGTGCTATTTCTTAGGACATTAATCTACTGTCAATTTATAAGATGGGAAAAACAGACTCTGAGGAAAGGAAGAATGATTAGGGGAACACAAGTAGTTCTTTGTGGGAGAACACATGTTCATTTCCTGTATGTAGGAACAGCTCCTGGAGAAGTATAGTTGTTCTGACTTGTGCGAGTAGTTGCAACTTTGTGATGCGAATGATATGGAAATAGCCTTCTCAGCTGTATACAGACTTGCCATTTTTCTGGAAATGGATTGAATATGCTGTTGAGTAAATGGGATTGCCTGCTCCTACTGGTCAAACATTAACACACAGACATCCCAGTGTCCACTATCCGAAAGTGCTACAGAGTCCGAGATGCAAAGCCAGTGCCCAGTTAGATTCTCAAGGCACTTGTCCAGAGAGCTGTATTGTGCTAGGTTTCCCATTCCGCATTGTCCCATTTTGTCTTTTCAACACTTTTTGGTCTTAGTTGGTAAAATAACCAGTTTTTAAATGGTTCCTGCCACCACAAAATTTCTTCCAAGTTTCTGACAGCCACTTGTAAGTTGCTTTTTAAACCGTGATTCTCGCTGGCGTGGTAGTTACGTGAACACGGACAGTTATCAGGCATTGGATTGCAGATTTGTCTCTTATCCTAAAAACTATATCAAAAAGCTTCTCTGGACAATCTTTTTGCTGTGATTGGAAAGAAACAAGAAACTGCAGTTCACAGTAGCCCCAACTGAAGACTCCTTCCCTCGTGCACAAGCCAGCCCCCTTTCCTGGCTGCCATCTGTGTAGGCGGATTATCTGGGATCTCAGTGCTTCTTGGCCTTCGGTATTTATCATCCACATGTGCTAAGAAGTGTTTCTTGCATCCGAGGCAGCATGCGCACAGCTCCTGCCTGTGCTGACAGTAATGAGGTTCTTATGCAGAACATTCCAGATACCCACGTCCTGTCCCTTTTTTTTGCTACAACCTGTGTATTATAATTTATTGAATAAGATAAATTTTCACAATACTTTGGTGAGACAAGTAAAGAAAAAAAGATA